GTCCAGGCAAAGATTAAAATATCTTGAATTTGAAAATCTAACAACGAGGAAGTAATAAGTTGATATTTATAAGTCAACAATATGCATCGTCTGATAAATTCTTGGTAAGTTTTGGGTTGAAACTACGATGGTGATGTATTCGAGTTCGGTTACACCGAGACAATTGTTTAAGATAATTTCCCGACAATTTTACAACTAAAGAGAATCACCTTCGTAGTTCCTACCACCTTAATGCAATTCCCACTACAGTAGCAATGCACTTGCATAATATATACAGAGCATCCGAATAATATATCAAACGGTGGTCCTTTATGAAAAAATAAAAAAAAAATAGAATAGAATTTTTTTGTTCGAAGCGTAGTTTTCAAGATAATCAAGTTTGAATATCCATTATGTACTTATGCAATACAGCTATAATGCTGTTTTTGTGTGAAGTACAACGCCGATTTGTAAACTAAGTAAATTTGTAAACAATACTTACGCAATATTCCAGAGATCCTAGGTGCAACTGAGGTGAAAATATTATTTTGCAGAAACATTTTATTATTAACTATATTGTTGAAAGTAACTATTCTTTGAATTGTTCTCCAATTAGGAACATGCCGTTAGAAACGTGTTCTGCAATAACGAACAGCAGCAGATAAATTGCTTCTAAGATCCGAATATCCACATGTTCTCTATTTGTATAAGTCATCTTGTCAAGAACCGAATAAAGACTGACTACTCACATTCACTGACTACAGCCATTCACTGTTTGTGAATATTACAGAAGAGCATTGTTTACAAACAGAATCGCCAGTCGACTTCACTCGGAAAGTCGAATCTTAAACACAGCTACCTGTGAACGTAGTGTCTGATTATCTTGAAAACTTGAACAAAAAAAATGTTATTTTATATTTTTTTCTTATTTTTTCACAAGGAATTACCACTCACTGGATATGTTATTCGGAAACACCCTGTATACCTTCTATTTCTATTCTCCATCTCTATATATACATACCTATTTTTACTTATTTAAATATTTCTCTTTCTCTTTCTCTTAATTTTTTCTTAAATAACAACTTATTTCTTGTTCTTTATCACAACAATAAATTAATATTAGTTGAAACAATGAATCAAACATGTGTACATTTAATACTTAAATGGATAATAGGGTCGTTGCAGTTCCTTCTAATTTTAATTTTAAATTAATGTTTATGTTAATGTTAATTAATTGTTAATGTTATTATTTAAAAATTTATATAATTCTCTAACACCTCCTTATGTTTCGAATGATGCAGGGGAAGTTTTATTCCTTTACTAATTTCGAATAAATTAAACATAAACTTCAACTATTAAGCTAAAACTAAAAGTTTACTTAAGAATTAAACGAGAGCTATCACTATACGGGAACAAGTCATTATTAATGTATATACGATATACTTCAACATTGACATAAGCGTTAATTTAAGTTAACTTTCTTGTATAAAGGAGAAACTACTCTAAAATCTGTGATATTAATATTAAATTTTGTCTACAGATATTTCTACTGCGTATGTATATTTTAGAAGGACGTGTGGCATCGATTACAATTTTAATCTAAATTTCTATCAAACCAAATTATAATATATCTGCTATTATAAAACACCTGTAAAATTAATATCTATTTAAAAACTTATTTAAAAAAAATGATTTAATATGAAAGAATTGTTTAGCAAAACTTAATCTAGTTATCGGAGTTATGTTACTTAATAACAGTTATTATGTATTATCATTACATACTAAACTAAGTATGATTCGTCCTAGCACTGAATTTATATTTATAATATTTTTTATATTTATATTTTTATAAGAAAGCATTATGATTTCTCTTTCACACACGATATGAATAAGTATAAGATAATATTAAAATTCTCACAAAGCTAATCGGATAAGATATGTACATATATACGTACACACAACCTGTACATGAACTATGGATACGAAACTAGATAGTAGAGGCTGTAGGCTGTTGATAACCAGAAGAAAAAGGATAAAGAACAAGCTCGCGCATGTGCATTTTACATTGCTAGCGTACTTAAGTACACATGTAAAACACGATACACAATGGTTTCATCTACATAGCGTTGTGCGTATATTTGGATGATGCACAGAATTTTAGTATGCAAAACAAGATGCCTTTAATGCTGAAATATCGCTACGAACATTGCAGCGTCGTTTTCTCGTCTTTCCAGCCGTTGAAATTTTCAACCCATTTCACTTTCAAACCATGGCTTTTTACGACAATAGCACTTTAACCGAAATCTACGCTTCATCGAGTACACCAATTCAAAATGGTATATGACATCATATATTATTCATAAATATATCAATCATATTTCACTAATTTATTATATGATTTCCTACTTTTTCCAAAATTGTCACTTTGAAAGACTTTTTTCTTATAAAACATATTCTGTTTTTTTTTTTGCATTTACTTTTTATGAGGGTGAGTCTCATAACATGACGACTTTAAATAACTCGTAAATTATTTGCTGTACAAAAAAATGTTTCAAACAAAAATTGCATAGTTTCCCGGGAAGGGTATACGAGTGTAATCACTTCGTTGTTGCTTTGTAATTTTATTGAGATATGAAGTTAGTTGAGGAAGTTAGAAGAGAATTGCGCTTAAATTAACGCAATTTTTTTAATGAGATGCCTAATATATACTTTTTCTTGGATCCGAATAAAATATCAAATTTTTCATAAAAAAAATTAAACGACATAGAGTCCAAAATTAGTAATTATTGAGATACTATCAAAATAAGATTCAAGTGTTCGAACTGTTCTTCATTATAATTAACGCACTTATTTAGTCATACTATAAGTAAATATAATTATATATTTAGTCATACTATAAGTATATATAATTATTGCGATATATGCGTTAGTATCCTCAACAATGGTTCACGATAAAATCCAAAAGAAACAATGGAATGAAGTTTTAAAAAAATAGTAGAATATAATGATTTAATTCTCATAATATTTTCGTTTATGTATTATAAACGATTATAATTGTGTTTTTTTATTATTATTAAACATGGTAATAAACACAACACTCTTTATAATCTGTTCTTTGAACAATTGAACTGAGATACTGACATATCTCATATTAATGATGTCTATCATTTAACAAAAATTGTATTACAGATATAATCTACCGTTATAAATATAGTTGTATTACAGTTACTTAACTGACCATATTTCCTAACACAAGATGAAGAATATTGAGAATATCTTAATTATTACTAATTTTAAACCCTCTTAATACTTTTTAATTAATATTTTTTGTATGCAAAATTCGATGCTTTTTTTGAATCCAAAAGAAATTATTAAACCTTCTATTTAAAAAATTGAAACTGACCTTCATATTTCGATAAAAAAGCAAAATAAGAATAAAGCAATTATAATACCGTATTCTCCAAGAAACTTCGTAACTTTTTTTGCATAGTGAAGAATTTGAATCATGTTATTTGAAATTGTATATCGATAACTAAAATAAATTAATACGGATGACAGTTTCAATATATCAAAAGTAGAAAATACTGAGACCGATTTTTCCAAATTACGGAGATGAATAAGCATGCCAATGTAGGCTTTAATAAATTGACTATTGAAAGTTGCCAGCTGCCAGTTGTGCATTAAAGGAAAAAATCTCTACATTCCCCTTCCCCATTCAGCAGCAGCCAACTTGTTTTTCCAAGGGTCCGCTTCCAGATGCTTTACCGAACTTACTTTTTGTTTTCGCCATTGTTTTGTCTCCTGACGGCGCGCATCGCTTAATTCACGCATGGATGAACACCCACGAATTTTAACTCTCTCCATCATCAATAATCTTCAGTCTTTTGATGTAAACACTTTTATTTTTTACTTTTCGTTATCCTAGTATTTCTTTAATGATTTAAGTCTTAAAGATTGAATAGATTGAGTCAATCTATGAATAGATCTAGGTCAATCGTATTCATATTATTCGTTCTATATCAGCATCGTATTTAATGTCTATAATGAGAAACTGTGATTGTTCTTATATACTAAATATAAGATAAAGATTCATTCAATTATTTTCATTAACAAATACAACAAATAAATTAGAAGAAAGAACGATTGCATTCTATTAAAAATTTTAATTGTATATCGTAGTTCCCCAATTAGTTGCCATTCTATTCTAATAAACATAAATCTAAAATTAAAATATACTTATTCACAATCAGAAAATATAAAAAATGGAATTATTAAATCAAAAAAAATATACAACATTCACAATAAGTGTAAGTAATTACAATAATAATAATTAGTACTGTTTTAATATTTAAATAATTGTTTCCGAAAAGAAATCTTTGAAACTAACTTTATTAAAGAAATCGAAGAACTTTAAACGACCGATAAAGAATGGACCAAAGTTCAGTCGATTTCTTGGAATTTTTATTAAAAAGCAAATCGTTTCCTTCTCTTTCCGCTTACTAAACCTCGACTACTTTCTTTTTTTATTAACGGTATGTCGAGTTATTCTGCAATTTCCTTAGATAGACAATAAGCACAGAGAAAAAGAAAGACGAAACAAGAGTTGGTGAAGGAAGAGTCGCTGGCTCCTTTCATAAAATCCAATTTAAGAACTGTTTCTGATCCCTGTCGTTTATCCTTATTTTATAGTAATAAAGAGACACCGAGACTTTTTTTTATACACTTGCAAGTAAACTGCAGTTAATGTGACGGTTATTATTTTATATCCTCAAATTAGTGTTACACAAATTTAATATATATATTAAGGAAATATCTGTTACAATTATAAAATTAATCGATACATCGCTATTTCAGCATCGTGTATTTTTTTATACATTATCCGAATGATTTATATTTTTAAAGTGATTTAAAATATATATTATTAAAACTTACAAGTCATTATATAACTTTTATTAATATATTTTTTACATATTAAAATTTCATTAGATAATTTTTACTATAAAAGAAAGAAATGAAACAAATTTTACTAAATGAAAACAAATTACATTTCGCTAAAGTCTTTTACATATAATGGCAAGGCTCTACATCATTTATAATATTACGATAATTATTCCATAATCGATCCTCTTTAAAACATACGGTTCCACCACCTCGAGAATACTGTGTATCCTAAACAAAGAATTATCTTCAAGATTTTATAATTTTGTAAACATTTTTAAAATATATACATACAGCTCTATTAATATCACCAATGCAAACCCAGTGATTAACGGACTTCTTGGTATCTGTAATAGCCCATTTGGAATGATCATGACTGCTAGTATAATCTACATTCGCAACATCGAATTTAAGGCTTTTAACATTGTAAATCCTGTAAAACGTATTCTCATGACAAGAAACATCGAAAACGACAGAATAGAGATTAAAAAATAATATTACCAACTTTCTACCAGTACAAATTGAAGGTAATTTGCCCCGACTATTCAACCAAGACTGAACAAATAAATCTGACTGCAATTGTGGCGCTACAAAATCTCCATATAACTCTAAAATTTAAAATTTCATAACCTATATGTATCTTATAAAATGTATGAAATATAGTTTTACAAACATAATTTATTTACCTTTTCCCCATTTTCCAGCCTTAGCAAACGAAGTGAATTCAATCATTCCTAAGGACTTTATTACGGCTTTGTGGTTATAGGGAGGCGTTTTGACATGTATTTGATTAGTCGCATTCTTCAGGATCGGATATTGTTTACTAAGTATATCAGGAATGTTTTTTGCATATACTGCTATTTCGTTGTATAATAATTGTTTTCCAACAATATCAAATTGATCACTACCAAGGGAAATACATAGGAAACTTTGTCCGTAAAATGTTCCACTTTCTGGATAATTGTATTTGCCATCGATATTTATATTTTCCTTATTTAATGGTCGAGTCTGTATACCATTTTTGGGAACTGGAGGAAAATTTGGAACGCTATGAATTAACCAAAATCCTTGTTCACTATTTGCCATCACTATACCCTTTGTATGACCAAAGTTCCAAACATAAGATGCATTTGGTGGACTATCGTTGTATAAACTCCACATACTTTCATTTTTATTATCCTATGTAAAAGACATTATAATGGTCAATTTTTTCTTTCTTTTATTTTTTTTATTTTTTAATAATTCATCATAATTTTTACTACTACGATAAAAAGATGTTCTAATTAAATATATTATTGTTACTAACAAACCCAGTCAGTAATTAGTATTTGTTAAATACTTACACGATCGTAAAGAGACGCTAATGTAATTCCAGGGATGGAATTATTTGAACTGATAGATTTAGAAGACAATTGCCAACCAGTTCCAATGGTTATATTTGTTATATATAGATAAGCAAGACCTTCTTTAATCAATGGATTACTGCTTGTTTGAACTTTTGGTAACTTATAAAGCACATACCTAAAATATGGTATTATTTTAAATTTACAATTAAATTAGTTTTTATATCATTATATATTATATTTATTATTTTTGTATCGTTATTTTTACATCACAAAAGTCATTCCTTGTTATCACTCTAATGCACTAATTTATACATAAATAATTATGCTGAAAGTAAAGAAAAAGCGCAGCATTTTTTAGATTGTATAAATCTTAATTAATAAATAAAACTTGATTGTATAAATATTTACCAATCCACTGGTACATTTTTTTCGTCTTTACATTGTAATTTATTGGAACGGTTGAAGCATATAACACTATTCGCAATTAACAGTGTAGTCGCGTAAAATAAAATTTTCATATTTTCGATATTTTACTGAAATAGAGAAATAATTAAAAAGAGAAAATAATGACTAAATAATATTTTTTTTAATCCAATTAAAAACAATAGAGAGACAGATAATATCGCTTCATAAGCTATTGAATATAAGTGATTATCTTGTCATCAAATATTTCAAGAAGCATGTCGTAGTATTATGATAAGATTAGTAATTATATTAATATTATAATTATTATACAATATTATAAATGACCTGCTTTTCAAATTTATATTTATTTACTGGTAATATAAATATAATATAAAAATTTATATTTTTATAAATAATATATAAATTTACATGAAAATATAAATAATAAATGAAAAAAAAATTTTTTTTTATTTAAAATGATATATGTATAATTTTTTTATGTAAATTATATATGTATGTAAATTGTTTCTATATGTATGTAAATTATATATATATGTAAATTGTTTCAATAAACATTTTGCTTTATTGCGAATGTCTCTTCATTCGCGCAACCTAAATAAAAAGTGTTATAGTTTGTATTACTCATCAAATGAAATCACAGTGATGTTTTAACTATGATGAGAAGTATATTATGGTAAGAAATACTGTTTTGAATTGGAATGATACAAAGTTATATGCAGATTATTATTTGTTCATAGATTATTTTCAAAAGCAGATTAAAATTTTTTATACTTGAACATTTATGTTAAATATAAGATGCTTTAATTATTTATAAAATACAAAGAATATGTTGAATATGTTCAAATATATTCATATATATTGACAAAATTAAAATATTTTCAATTTTCATTTTTTTTTTTTTTATTATTTCCTTTCTTTTCTCTTTAAGATATGCGATATTTATAATTTTTATAATAATAAATAAAATCTACAGTGACAACCAAAAAAGTACAGAATAAGACAAAGTTTAAAGTTTAAAGTAAAGAGTAAAAACAAAATCATATTTGTTTTATAAACCTGAATTATAATTGATAAAAGAAGTAATGTTTATTAAGAAAGAAAATTTATTTCGTCCCAAAATATACAAGCGATCAGTTAATTAATACGAAAAAAAGTATTTGCTCGATAGAAATTTTATTTATACCTGTATTAATCTTAAACTTTATTTTTCTATCACTGTATATCGTATACATAATAAATAATCTCTATATATTTACCGTAAACTGCTGTATTATAGAAATAAAACACAATAAGATGTAACAACTTTTAAACAGTAACGCTACTATCGACACACTGCACAGCTGGCAGAGTAACCGAATGAAACATCACTTTACGTCATTAGAGTTTCTTTATCCTATTGGTTGATTGGTTAGTGAATTAATGTATCTTTTTTCAAACAATATGTTTATTACATTTATAATAGCGAATATAATTCTTAAAATATGTAACTGGTATTTTTATATTTACATAATGTTAATGTATGATATCAATAGATCGACATTATTTATAATCGTACAATGAAATTATTTGAAGAACATTGTTATCTTAAAATTATATGTTTAAATTCTTATACCATATGTAGATAAAAATAAATGTAAATAAGAAACAAACGAGTAAGAAATAATTGCATTTTTTCAAATATTCATCAAGTTTAACAATTCGAATGGCTTTAAAATTTCAAATACATTCACTTATCAATGCTTATACAAACATTTAACTCCATCTGCAGTTCGATACGTGAAACAAACACCGCATTGAGATTTATTATATGATCGACTGCAGTGAAGTAGCAATATGGCGATCATAAGTTGCAGCGGGCCGAACGTCATAATACTACAATGAGAAAACAAGAAACATTGTGTGAAGTAATAACTGTATATTAAAGTTATAATTCGGCCAAATGCTTTCTTAGCAATGACACTGCCAATAAACCATTTTAAATGGCACTACAGATTTCGTTGAAACATCTGTAAAACCCGACACGAAACACAATAATGAATTCCTTTATAGAACTATACAGAATATTCTTAACACTGACAGAAGAACGAAGAAACAATTTATAGATTCTTCGTCGAATGAAGGTATATTTTCAAAAATACTATTTGCTCTAATAACATATAATTCACGATGTTTCTTTGTCATGATATAATTTTGGGAATTTTATCTATTAAAATTACATTCTTAGATATGATATTATTTATTTTTTTAGTTGTCAAAGTATATTTATGTAAACTGTTATTTTGAATCATATTTTATATTTTTACAGTTTTCTAATATAAGAAAATACATTAATGAAATCTTTATGGCCTAATGCACTATATATTGAAATAATATTCATCATAAATTTTTAATATTTTGTTCTGAAAATCAAAGAAACAAAAATGAGCCGAATAGATAATGGAAGTGGTTGGCATGAATGTGTTAAATGGTTAACAAGATGTGGAGCTTTGAGGGCAGATCATAAAGCAAATTGGCCAGAGGCTACTGCTGTTGATTTAGCATATACATTAAGAGATGGTGTATTGCTATGCAATCTTCTAAATACAGTGGATCCTGGTTGTATAGACATGAAAGATGTAAATCAAAAACCACAAATGGCACAATTTTTATGCTTAAGAAATATAAAAGTATTTCTATCAGCATGTTCAACTACATTTGGCTTAACTGATTCTGAACTTTTTGAACCTACTATGTTGTTTGATTTATCAGACTTTCTTCGTGTATTACGTACTTTATCAGTTTTATCAAATTGTGCTCGTTTGAGACGTAAAGGTATATTGTAAGTAATTATATAATCAGCATATAATGTTTTATATCTATAAATTGTATTATTTTATTATATCAACAAATATTTGTTACAGAGGTTTTTCTATAGGTCATGGTAGATCACAAGAAGATATCTATAAGGACTTACAAAGTGCTGGTGCAGGGTAAGCATTTAAATTTTAATGAAGTATGTTGATTTATTGAATATATTTATAGTTGAAATATACAAATACACTTCACTTAAAGATAAAAACTTTATAAATTATCATAAAAACTGATCTATAAAAAACATCAAATCATTTATAATAACTTATATCAATGGGTTTAGTCCCACAACAGGAGTGGGGACATTTACCATGAAATCTAAGGGTATGGATGTAGATGAATCCCAAGTATATCAGGAATTACTTTGCTTCTCGAGTAATTCTCAGCACGACTGGCCTTCCACAGAGAAGGTATCTGTCGTTTGCAACTTAAATGTTTAAAGATTTACAATAAAAGTACCAAACATCACTGTATTCGATTATAAGAGTCAAGCATTGTTTATTTGATATATAAATAAGTATTATTTACAAATTTTTACTGCAAAATTAACTCACTACAGTGATACTGGCACTATTTTAAAATTTATTCAACATTTTCTTTGAAAATTTATGTGCTAACTATATTAGTAACAATATCTACAGTTGCTACAAATAATTTAAGTTCGCAAGAAATTTTATTTTTTTCATGCATGAATAGTGCATGGCTGTTCATATTTTTATGCTAAAGCCGTGAAGACGAAGGTCGTCGCAGAAGATTTAGAAGGCGAGAAGGAAATGAAGCAGGTGGAGGAGGCGACAATGAAGATCCAGTTGGGGAGGAAGATGGATATGGAGCATATTGCAGCCATGTACAAAGTGAAGAAATCTACCAGGACCTTTGTAGTCTACACTTGCCACCTCCTCCATCTGTTGCACAGGTCGTTAAATATTGGCATTTGTCTTACATGCATGCGATCATCAAAAATTCATCCCAATGTCATTTTAAATCGTAACATTAATAATTAGTTTTATTGTGCCTTATAGTATTTTGTGTTCTATATTACTTCCTATAAAAAAAATTTTCAATCGATTTTTATGAAACAGGATGGTGCAATCTGTGGCGGTGAAAAAAGGGATTATGTAATACAAGAACTTGTTGAAACAGAACGAAATTATTCTGATGTCCTTAACAGTTTACTTAAACATTTCGCTAGACCCCTTTCCCCGTTACTACGACCCGAAGATTCTGCACGTATTTTTTTTGGTATAAAGGAACTTGCAGAAATTCATGCCGGTTTTCATAGTCAACTTCGGAAAGCAAGGACCGGCGCTACTTTAGCGCAGGTTTTTCTCGATTGGCGAGAGAAATTCCTTATTTATGGCGATTATTGTGCAAATCTTACCCTCGCTCAAAGCACATTGCAAGAAGCATGTGTTCGTTATGAATTAGTTAATCAAGAAGTTATTGTATGTTTTAAGACATTTGTTCTTAATGTATGATATTTTATATATTTTATTTTTAATGAAAATGGTAATTGTAGAGATGTCAACAAGAAGCAAATAATGGCAAATTCAAATTACGAGATATTTTATCTGTCCCAATGCAAAGAATATTAAAATATCACTTATTGCTTGACAAACTAGTAGAAGAAACTCCTTGTGATTGGCTAGAAGATAGGCGTCAACTTGGAAAAGCTAGAGAAGTAATGGTTGACATAGCACAATATATTAATGAAATAAAACGTGACTCAGACACATTGGACATTATAAAAGATATTCAAGCATCAATAATTGATTGGGACGTTCCAGAGGATGTGCAATTGAAAGATTTTGGGCGATTACTTAGAGATGGAGAGCTTAAGGTAATAATTTCATATAAACAAATATATTTAAAATTTAAACATCAACAAAATGTTGCAATCATATTTAGGTAAAAGCTCATGGTGATCAACGAGTAAAAGCTCGTTACGCATTCGTTTTCGAACAAGTAGTATTAATTTGTAAAGCGGGTAGAGGAGAACAATATTGCTATCGTGAGACCTTACGTCTTGATGATTATCGGTTAGAGGATCATACAGGAAGACGAACACTCGGCAGAGATTCTCGGTGGTCCTATCAATGGCTATTGGTCCATAAACAAGAATATACTGCATATACTTTGTATGCAAGAACAGAAGAACAAAAGCAAATATGGATCAAAGCATTGCAAGATGCAATGGATAATGTTAATCCCGCCGCATGTCGCAATACAAATCATAAATTTAAACTTACAACATTCGACACACCACGTAGTTGTCAACGATGTGGTAAATTTTTAAAGGGACGAATTTTTCAGGTAAAACATTAATTGTAAGTTATTATATATTATAATACAAATTTCCTAATAAGCTATTCATTTAAATAGGGATATCGATGTGAAACCTGTCGTTATGCTGTACATAAACAATGCATTGCACATTCGGGTCGGTGTATGCCAGTACCTCCACCACCTCCGCCTCCACCACCTCTACCATGTGAACGTGCCCTCTCAGTGAAATTATGGTTTGTAGGAGAAATGGGACGTGATACAGCATCAAATAAATTAGAACCTCGTGAAGATGGTACTTATATGCTGCGAGTACGACCTGCTGGACAACCACGTTTGAAACACGAAACCAATTATGCTCTTAGTATTAAGTAAGAATTCCACATACATATCTTTTTTTTTTTAATATTGAATTCAAAAATCAGTGTATTTAAAAACATTAATCTATATCATATCATAGGGCAGACGGAACAGTAAAACATATAAGAGTATTTAAACGCAATGTTGATGGTGCTGATGTATATTATCTTAGTGAATCTCGTTTTTTTAAAAGCGTAGTTGAACTTGTTGAATATTATGAGCGGGCATCGTTATCAGAAAATTTTGAAAAGTTAGATCAACGCCTGCTATGGCCATATAGACGTGTCTTGGCTAAAGCATTATTTGATTTTCGCGGAGGAGAACGGAATCAACTAAGCCTGCGACGAGGTTGCAGAGTTGTGGTATTAAGCAAGGAAGGTGATGCCAAAGGTTGGTGGAAAGGAAAAATTGGAGATCAAGTAGGGTTTTTTCCAAAAGAATATGTTGAAGAAGAATAACCATAAATTATACTACTTAGATATTTTACTTATATGGTAGCACGACGATCAAAAATATTTTATGTATTAATCATAGCATCGTGCAATCATATTTTATTAAATTTATTCCTCAATGGAGAACAAAAAGAAGAAGTTTTACATTATATAAAATATAGAAAGATTTATCTTCACATTTATTAGTATCATTATAAAAATAAAATTTATTTTGTTCTCTTTATTTGAGGTTGTACTCTATCACAATCATATAAATAGAAAGTACATATTCATATACGGAAACCGAACGCATAAAAACAAATGTTTAGCTACTTGTATAGATCAAAAAAATTATTTTCAGTATAATATAACAGTACGAATAAAGTTTAGAAAAGTCATAAAGATTAAAGTTGTCTAAATATTCTTATATATTAGAATCATACAAAAAATTTATCGCCAAATGTTTATAATTCTGGACAGCTTTCGCCTTTATGACCATATTTTGAAGTCAATTGCCAAGACTCAATTGTATATATTGTAATTCTGTACTGTCGATAATAAAAATTTTAGCTATTTCTTAAATATAAATATACACATACATAAATATATAAATAATCATTATGTGTATTATTGTAACAAATTAATTGTATTATTTTTTTTAACTATTACACATTTTCTGATTGTGCCAATAAGAGAATAACCAATAAAATTCAGATCCTATTGAGACATTAAGACAAAAAAAAAATAATACGTATCTATATTTAAAATTCTATTCTGTGCTTTTTATTAGCATATATAATAGCAGCTACTTTTTGTTCTAGTCTTTTGCAGCCAGTAGTTGCATAGATATTATGTGGAGGAGGTCCAAAAATCACATATGATAATCCTTCTTCTATCATTTCATTAGTAGGATGTACTCCTCTGTTTATGAAAGCTTTTCTTAAACACTTCTTCACATGTACTTCTTCAAGTGGTAAAAAAGGTACATAATGATCTATAACACTAGAGTCTATTGTATCACTATGATAAAAGCCACCCTTTTCATTAAATGCCCCAACACTTATTAAATTTTCAAAATCTTGAAGTTTAGTTGTTCTTCTCTGTTTACCTTCCTCCCAAAGTGTTAATAAACGTTGAGTAATTCGTGAACTGCCTGTATTTGATAAAAATATGTAAATTGCTTTCCTTGTATCTATAGAAGTGCTTGTAAATCTCCATGATTTGATCCATGTATTGTAGTCCAAAAATGGTACAAGAACATTTAGTAAACCTTCTGGCATTTTATCCACTTCATCAAATACAAACATTGATCTTTCACATTTTTGTAAACTATTAATAATAATTTTATATAATTCTTCCTGCGTAATATAAAATATATTGAATGTAAACCTAAATAATTTTTTACTAACAAGTGAAACATACCTTATATTCATTTACTTTTTCTTGCAGAGGAAAATCATTACGGCCATTAAAAAAGTGGTAAAATTTACTTTGATCGCCCTTTTTATAAAAAAACTTAGCAATCATTTGACTTATATAAGTTTTACCAGTGCCTGGTGGACCATGGAAGCTCATACTTAGAGCTTTTGGAGGGTTAGCTGATGTTAAATGTCCACGTAGAGCATTTATAATTATATGATGAGCAATTTCTTGTCCATAAAGTTCTTTATTTAGATTATCATCTAACTCTAGAATTATATATAATCAGTTAATTTGGTTATATATAAACATAATCTCACAATATAAATAACCTTAAAATTTTCTACTTAATATACATACTATCAATGTCAGGAGAAATATATTCCGTTGTACAACATTCTCCAAAATTACATTGTACATTTCTTACTGTATTACTGATTTTATCAAATCCAGATGATAACATTGACATAAATGAAAATTCACATTTTATACAAACAATTAATAAATTAATAATAATAAGTATGGACGAAATGCCAGTAAGATTCATGTTATATTACTATTTAATTATAAATATGATTGTATTCCACAAAATTTAAACATTACTTGTTAATGCATAATTGAAAAATAAAATATTAAACAAATTTATTCGTAAAGCTATTTGTTCATATTTCATTAATAAAAATACATTTGATCTAAATATTAATATTCTACATAAAACTTTATGCTGTAACCATTAATTTAAACATTTCAATGAAAACGGCGATTTCCTATTGGTTCAACTTTAAAACTCTTAATTTTGTACAGTAAAAACTGATAAAAAATAGTCGTACAAGTACATAAAAAGAATTGAATTAATTTATATTTTATATTTAAATATAAGTTTTCATATTACATCAATAAATACTTTCAATTTATACTATTGCATTATGTTATAAAAATATTGAAATTTTGATATAATCTAAATATTCCTAAAATATTTAATTTGCATATAAACATGTATCTCTATATACTTGAAGTAATGCTTATAATTTCTGATATGTTGTTTAAAATTCAATTAAAATAATTTGTATGAGAAAGATATTACTGATAACCTTTAAAGGATAAATAATTTTATAGATTTCGTTGGCGCTCAATATTACTATCATGAGTACAAGGTTCGAAACATTCACTGACCGATTCACTGAATTCAGACTGTAGCTACAGTCGTAACTAAAGTATAAGTTGCGGAATAAATTTTTGCGCGATTTGTATTTTTTAAACTAAGTTTAACATAATAATACTCTAACAATACGTCATTTACTATATATTGACTATTTCATTCATTCCTTTCAGCCATATCTATATAATACTCGTATATTTATTGTAAAATATTTACTGCAAAGAAAAAATATGGCATCCGAGAATAATACTGGTGATACCGCTTATACCAAATTTTATACGCGGGAAGAAGTTGCTAAACATAACGATAGTAAAGATCTGTGGTTTATTATTCACAATAAAGTTTACAATGTGACTCAATTTATAAGTGTAATTATATACTTTACATTATTTCTTTTATAATTAGTGTTTTTTAATAGATCTACGTATAAAAACGTTTATTTCATATCTCAAATTTAAGCATCCTGGTGGAGAAGAAGTTCTTTTGGAACAGGGTGGTCAAGATTGTACAGAAGCTTTTGAAGACATTGGTCATTCAAGTGATGCAAGAGAATTAATGGAGATATTTAAAATTGGCGAATTAGTAGAAGTACGTATAAGATTCAATTTTAAGATAATTTTATGTTTTTTACTACTAATTTCTGTTCCTACTATCAATAATAATGATTAAGGAATAAAAAATTATTAATTTTAGGAAGAGAGAACACAAGGCAATAGTGAATTAACTGATGTGTCTGACGTAGATAATTCTAGGTATATTTTTTCATACATATTAGTTAATATTGTGTGTATGTGTGTGTGAATATATATTATGTGTAATATTACATATAATGTATATATACTAACTAAAATATTACAGATATATAATTCTATAACTAATATCTTTAGTAATGATATACTTTCATTTCTCAATTATTTGTATTAATTGGATAGCACGATTAAAAATCTAATTTTATTATAAAATAATACTTAGAACAATAGATTTATATTTTTTATTTTGTCACGTAGTCATCATATGATTGTCTTATAAATGGTAATTGTGCTACCCAAATTCATAAAGTTATTAAAATTCAAAATATATAATATATAAGTAGTCAATTCTGTATTGTGATGTGATTATTGCTAGTTGCAGTGGTTCTTGGAGATCGTGGCTGATTCCAATTGCTCTTGGGGTACTGGCGACTCTTGTCTACCGTTATTTTATTAAGGCACATTGAATTGTTCCCAATATTTGTTTTTTTTTTTTAATTTGTAATATATAAACAATTGTTCGAAATAATTAATCAAAGAATATTACATATATTGCACATAATCACAGTTTTGTTTTATGATATGAAATTGCACACATGAGCTGGCCTAGTATAAAAACATTTACAAAACAAAAATTCATTTGTTATATTTTCTGGAATATATAATCATAAGTGTGCGTGTTTCATACATATGTAATAATGTGAATATATTAACTGTAAGTACAAAAATAAATTAATTTTATTTACATATTGGCATCAAACTTCCATTGAAACAAAAAAACTACAGTTGATTCTGAAACTAAAATATTTTAAAAATACATTGCATTTGCCACTGTATGTACAAAGACGTTTACAATTAAATAAAAAATATAGGAATAAATTAAAAATTATTTTTTAAAACAATATAAACGATATTTAAAACATTTTCATATTTGCATTTGTCACTGTTAAAACTTATTAACATGTATAATTGATGGCACGATGTTTTGTAATATTGTGACAATGTAACTGTTAAGTTTTTTATTGTAAAATCACATATATTATAAAATATGTTTTGTTATATTTCCAATTTTATAATTAATAATTTAATAATCCATTTTCTTACAAATATATACATTTTTTTATTGATATGCAGTACATTAATATAGTAAAAGCATAATTTTTATACCACTGTAATAATATAATTTGTTAGAATATAACTATAACTATAATTTGTAGTTACAAAATAGAATTACTTAATAATGTTGAAATTTACTTAACACCCAATTCTTATGATTACAAAAATATGACTATTGTTATACTGATACTACTTATTGTATTTATATTATTTACTGTTGGAATGTATAAAATATTAATATATAGTATTTGTTCTATTTTGTATATTATTTTCTTTAAGAAACTTATAAAAAAATCATTTCTTTTATTACAATAATAACATACATTATTATATTATTTTGCATCAATAGAAGCCCTGCAATCTTTTTCTTCATCTTTTTATTTATTTTCCATGTATTATTTATTATTTTAATAATTTATTTCAAAATTGTGAAATAAATATGCAATTATATTATTATATAATTGTAAAAAATTATACATTTATTTAATTGTACGTAAACATTAATATTTGTAAATATCTATTGAAACTAATATGTTTTATATACAATAATGGTATAGAAAAGCTTAAAAATAAAATAACTTAAAGTATGAAAAATATTTTATAGATATGTAATAAAAGTCGAAATAGGGAAAAACGATATCGAGCGAATTTAAGCGCCGACGCTAGGCGTTCGTAATAGTCTCCTTCTTTGTCGCACTCCCAATTTCCCCTTCCTAACCTCGTTCGTTCTTTAGCGGGTACGTCTCCCTCTGTTAAACTCGAACATCCAGTTCATCGTCAGAGATAGATTGGTGCGAGTCGTATATGAATATATAGTTACATAGAAAACACGTAAATTTGTATTAAACGATTAATGTTATCGGAAGGATTCAAATTTGAAAATACTCGATTTAAATAAAAGAGGACTACAGTTTGATTCGGACAAATCGTAATTGTTCAAACTTTAAAAGAGAAGGAAGGGCGTACGTAAAAGTCGCCCATTGAAACACGAACTAAAAATTTGCGAGCGAATTTAGCGCAAGAAAGAAGCAGACGGCGGGCCAAAAACAGCTGTGTATACGGCAGAGACAGTGGTTGCTTCAAAAAGTCGCCGTAGTGTCATGAGAGGCGGTCTCACAGTCCGCCCTTTTTATCGGTCCCTTTTAGAGTCATGCATGTCGCGCCCTTCAAACGAGGTGAGCGACATTTTTCCTTACAATTACTATTACCGTGTAATAATTATTATTTATAGAAAGACTAGCCATTTATTCGCAATTAATAAAATTCGCGCGCTTTTTTTATTTTCGCTTGTTGCATAAATACAATTTCCGTCCTTGAAAGAGCTTTTTCATTAATATAAAGAATTTGACTTTAGTTTGAGTTATACATAATTTTCATAGAATTAAAAAAATTAATAAATCTGTAAAAAATGATTAAATCATAAAACTTAAACGCATTTGCAATACAATGTGTATCTACAAAGTAACAGATTTTATCTTTATTATATTATATTATATTTTATTATTTTAATTCGGTAAATGATTTAGAATGAGGAATCACATTAATTGTTTAGTGTTAATAAGACATTTTCGTAATTCATCGATCAAATAATTTGATGACATATACTTATGTTAATTGCAAAACCGGATATGTATATACAGGACGTAACGCAATTTATATTTCGTATAGTCAATTATGTTTTTTTCTTATACAAATACCACAATATGATATACAAAAATATATCCAAGACAAGTAAAATAATATTCATATTATATTACTGGCCGATATTATTTAGTAACACGAAACAAAAGAAAAATTTGTATTATTTATGATTAATAAGAATCTTTTTTTTATTTCTTCTAATTTTACATTTATTAATATTAATAAATAAATGAAATAGTAAAAAATTCATATAATTAAAATATATTATAAACTAGCATATTTTAAAATATATCATTTCACTTTCAAAAATAAAATAAAGAGAAATTATAATCGAGTTAAATAAAAAATATAAGTAATTGAATAAAAAAAAAAAACGAAATATCTTATATACTATTAATCATAATAATATATGATATATATTATATTTTGACTATTTAACCATTTAACGTTTAACTATTTATATAAATATATAATACATATAATTAAAAAGAAAGAAGAAATTCGAAAATGCATGAGGTATATAAAATTTTTATGTAATTTTAAGAATATTTTTATTTTTAATATTTAAATTTATTAACTTTAAAATATCCCTTAATATTCTATTTATATATGCCTATTTTGTTTGTTTACTTTTATTTTACAGGAATCAAATTTCCAGATTCACCTCAATGTTAAATTTAGTCTTACTGTGTATTTTAAGACACTATGCGCAAGTGGTTTTCCGTTTCCATCGCAAATAGAAATTTATCATCAATTTATTCATTTATTAGACTCAGCTACTATATCTTTTCATGTTAATAAAACTATCTGTTAATAGAACAGATCTACGCGATAATTTTTAAGTGATTAAAAGAATGTGAAAAATTATTTTTTAATCTGGAAAACTCTGCAGTTTATATTCTTAAGAGATATATATTTTTATGGATAGTGGATAAATCATTAAATATTGATCTTGATATTATTCTCGTGCAAATTTCATGAATTATTTTTGACATGTCATGATAATACACGTTGGACAACACATAATGTAACGAATAGACACACAAATAGACGAATAACGACTTCTTAACAAATTGCTGAACGAACAGCAGCAATGACTATTCTACAATGCGTATTTCGTTTAAGCCAATTGTACTTTCTATGCGAACCAATGCATCTTGATCTTCTCCGTGTTCTAAGCGATGTTGATTTTATCCTAAAACCTTGCTACTCTAAACGATACGATTACTAGAAATGCGTTCATGATTTTCTAAAAATCGAACACGTTACATACAGAACGCATTTGATAACTAAATTTTGAATCAAAAGCTTTGATCAGTTTCGATTCTATTTATATATAAACTGTTTTTTCGAAATAGAAATTTTAATAAATTATGTAAAGTGAAAGAGTTAAAAATTATCTTCGCTCCGTTAAGTAATGGTAAATATAATGATCAATAGAATGGAACGAAAACCATCGACCAATGTCATATGACTATACATATATCAGCAACTTTACACGAACAAAATTTACAGTTTGACGTTGAGAATAAATTGAATTTTTTCCATCATTATTTACGTAATAATGATCAAGTATTTATTTTTAAATATATTCGAAGCATATCATTAGCGTTGGCATACTACAATCTCGAACTCGATCAATCGATGTCGTTGATGTATGTTGATAAGATGGTTGAAATTTTATTTCTACGGCTCGTCAAATGGATTACTAACATCAAATGGAATTTGATACATCTATTGAAAGATATAAAATGCATTATGCAGCTTAATAAATACAATTAGGACATGCATTGTATCACGCTTGATTCTAAGCCTTCACAATTTTTTTTTAAAAGAAACATTACTTTACATTTTCTTTTTCATTTCATAACCAATTTAGTTTTTAGTTGTAAACAAAATCCTCTTTCATACAAGACGTTGCACAGAGATCGGTTTCTTTCGCACGAACGATCAATTAAATGCAATTGAATCATTACGACAATTTGTCACAATAGGTATTAACACGGTTGGAAGCATACTACATTTATATAGAAGTATATATGTATAAATATATGTATATATGTATATAAGTACCACTAATGAAACTTCTGATATAAACAGTGAAATGAAACTTGAAGAACGTAACTCGAATTAAAAAACGAAGATTCTTTTTGTAAAATCATTTCGTGCTAAACGATGGGAAAGAAGGCTATGAATTGACTCTGTACATATCATGTCTACATATATATATATATATATATATATATATATATATATATATATATATATATCTACTGCAAATATCCGTGTTAGCATATCGTCTTACCAATTCGACGAATTTTATAAATTCACATATATAATAATTTGTCGTTGAACATGCATAATGTTCATTGATAACATTCCTTTTCAAGCATCATGTTTTTTACTCAAGTCTTTTAAAACTATAAAATTGATTTCCTTCTTGCATAAAGTATTTATAACATATGTTTTTAATTAATTTGTAACCATTGTTTGGTAGTAGACCAGATTTAAAAACAGTTGTATAATTTATGTCACATATTTTTATCTTGTATATTTATTTTTCTTTATATTTACATATCATAGTCATTCACAAAATAATATGTGCATCTTTTATCATATTGCATTACTTTTTTGTAAATTGTCAAGTAAAACAAAACAGTTTAGCCACAAATCTTACAAGACTTTTATTGTAACTTAAATATAGTTGCAACACATAATTGTGTTTCCCATCGATCATATATGTTTAATCAAATATTAACAATATTTCACATTCGATGTTATATATTCGATTTTACTAAAAGAATTATACAAGATATTGAACTTGAATTGTAAAAGATATATAGCTAAACGATACGTTGCCATTTAAAAATATAAATAATCAGCATTTTTGATGCCTCTATCGAAGCTACTGCAAAAATGTTCATTAATGAAGAAAGAAAAAAATCCAAATGAAATTAAAATTAAAATAATACATTGCGTGAATACTAATTCTTATAATTAGTTTTTCGATTTTTTTTTTATATACCATATAAAAAATAAAGAAATTAAAAAGTAGAGAAAGAAATAAAGAAATTAAAATATTGTGCGTGTGCGCACACACACACACACACACGCGCGCGCGCGTACGTCAAAAAATATATGTACTCTATGTAATATATTTTAAAGAAGAAATCGGAATGATATTTTAAGATAAATATTAAATCTGATGTAATAATAAATTATTAACATGGATGCGTCAATAGGAAAATCAATAATTTATCGAAAGGTCACCTTGAAGATGAAACCACGAATGCCTTGTGTAATACGAAGTTCGGTCGAATGTAACTATTACCTACCTCACAAGCTCATTAAAATGAACGTTTATGCTTTTCTATTTTCAAAAACATTTACTATCGACATTCAGTATCGACGCTATTATCACGAGTTTCGATTATTAATGTGCACAATATTGATCAGTATAGGAAAAAATAGATCAAATAATCAAAAAAATGTATTATCTAAAAAATAATCTATCAAAAAGACGATTAACAAATGTAGTATCGAGTTTATTCGATTACATTACCGATATTTCTGATATTGGTTGAAGAAATCGCCGCGTCAAGATTTTAAGAAACGTGTTTGTATTTTATGTGTTTTTTAAACGTGTTTGTATTATATAAATTGTGTACGTTAAAAGATCGCAGTCACGAGAAATCTTTGGCGTTTGGCCATGCGAACTATTATGGTAACAATAATACCTCGGTTATAATAAAATGATGTACGTCACATGACGACAAGATACAAATTCAACAATTTGTCGCTTTTTAGATCATCGTGGTTCTTTGAAGTATGCAAATATGTTTTATTAGTTGTTAAAAGAAAAGTGTTTTTGCTAAAAGAAAAGAATTGCGTTTTTTGAAATACAATTATCGGTTGTTTGTAGTGACTTTATCGATAATTCGTTTATATATCATTTAAGTAAGATTTTCTGAAAGATCTTATTCACGTGTTTTTTTTCTGCAATCACAAAGTGTACAGAATACGTAAGAAAGTGGACATTAATGTTCAAACGATCTTCTCATTAATAAATATTAGTTAATGACTATAAAGTCAAATTTCTTCACGGAAACTTGTACCATTTGCAAGTAGCAGAGGAGTTGGTTGAAACTGTCAATAATAAAGCCTGATGAATTATGTACGAAGGTAACCATACGGTCCATTTTTGTGAACCTTCTATTCGATTATTGTGCGGTATACCTACAACCATACTGTAATAATATCACATAATAACGTTGAATGATGGTTTAAAAATCAATTTGTTTGATTTAAAATAATAATAATTTTTTTAGTAAATGAAACAATATGAATGATTTCAGCAACCGTGGGACATGATCCACAGACAAGTAACGGAAACCAATCGCAACAGCAGTTGCAAAGCGGTGGATGGAATGGAATTCCTGAAACGACGTTGGTCTCTCGATCGATTAGAAACAACGGTAACAGCAATGGTTGGAACCCAATTATGTCGCCGTTCCAACATCAACAAGAACAACAGCTACATGTACGAAAACAAAAAGAAATTAAATCTGGGGATTTGGGAGATGATGAAGACGGTAGTGGAGGGGGTGGAGGGCTGGAGGGGACGGACCCAGAGGAGAACAACTCTGTTCACCTCAAGAGACGGGTGGGACTCGTCAGTGGGGTGGCTCTAATCGTTGGTACTATGATAGGTAGAGCAATCTATACGATCAGTAAAATCTTATACGATTAATTAAAAACAGTACAATCTCAATTTCTTCTTGTTCTTGTTCTTCTTCTTCGTTAAATTACGAAACGATAGGTTCTGGGATATTCGTTTCGCCATCAGGGCTTCTGGTTCGAACCGGCAGTATCGGAATCAGCTTCCTCGTATGGACGGCCTGTGGCTTGTTGAGTTTGTGCGGTGCGTTAGCATACGCTGAGCTGGGTACGATGAATACGAGCAGCGGCGCCGAGTACGCTTACTTTATGGACGCATTCGGCGCACCACCTGCTTTTCTCTTCTCATGGGTTTCCACTTTGGTTTTAAAACCATCTCAGATGGCAATAATCTCTTTGTCGTTCGCACAGTACGCGGTTGAAGCATTCGCGGCTGATTGTGATCCACCCGAGGAAGTCGTCAAAATCGTTGCACTTCTGGCGATCATACTTATACTATTAGTGAACTGTTACAGTGTTAATCTAGCCACAGGTGTACAAAACGCATTTACCGCAGCAAAACTGATCGCCATACTTGTTGTAATTGCTGGTGGCTCTTATAAGTTGATACAGGGTAATACGCAGCATTTGAAAGGTGCTTTCGATACCATGGACGGTGGTACTGTTAATATAGGCAGATTAGCCACAGCTTTTTATACTGGTTTATGGGCATATGATGGATGGAACAATCTCAATTATGTTACTGAAGAAATCAAAAATCCTTCTAAAAATCTACCACGTTCTATTATGATTGGTATACCCCTTGTCACGCTATGTTACGCATTGATAAACATTTCCTATCTAGCTGTGATGTCACCTTCGGAAATGATCGAAAGTGAAGCTGTTGCAGTGGTAAGAGAATTCTTCATCCTAAAAGTCAAGAATTAAAACAGAGATTCAAATAAAAATTCATATTCAAAAACTGATTTGTTTTGCAGACATTCGGAAATCGAATTCTTGGCGTTATGGCATGGCTTATGCCCCTTTCTGTTGCGATCAGCACATTTGGTTCTGCAAATGGTACTCTTTTTGCAGCAGGTAGACTCTGCTTTGCCGCGTCTCGAGAGGGTCATTTACTTGACTGTCTTAGTTATGTGCACGTGCGACGTTTTACTCCTGCACCGGGACTTATCTTCCATTCTCTTGTTGCAGGTATCATTTACGCCAATCTTATTCTCGTTTTGATTGATATACATATTCCACTAAATATTTAATGAAATATCTTTCCATCATTTAGGAGCAATGGTACTATCAGGAAATATTGATTCTTTGATCGATTTTTTTTCGTTCACTGCTTGGATTTTTTATGGCGGAGCGATGTTAGCTTTATTAGTGATGAGAAGAACCAGACCGAATCATCCTCGACCATATAAATGTCCGCTGATAATACCTGTTCTCGTACTTGGAATCTCTGCGTACCTGATTGTAGCGCCGATCATCGATAAACCTCAAATTGAATACTTGTATGCGGCTGGGTTCATATTAGCAGGCATGCTCGTCTACCTCCCGTTTGTGAAATACGGATATGTGCCCAAATTTATGGGTAATTCTGATCATTCAAAAATCATTGTTGATAAAAATATTAATGCAAAATAAGAAAAGTCGCATCATTTATTCTGTTTACAGAAGGAGTAAATGCCTTTCTTCAAATGTTGCTCGAGGTTGCACCAACAGCTGCAGCATTTGATTGATTTCGAGCAAAAGTGTGATTTTTTAAATGCCAAATCATTCCATTGTGGCATAGTGAACACAATATGAATATCTATTTTAAATATGAGTAGATAAAAATATGTATCCTCCTATTGAAGCTCAAGGCTGGTCCGAATGAATTCACAAAAATATAAAAATATTATTTTATTACTTGTTATTCATACGCATATATATATATATATAATATACAATTCATGAAATATATTATTGTTAGACAATTAGTTAATGTTGTAACTATTGAACAAAATAACTAAAAATATTTTAAATGTTAATAGTTAAAATTTTATTTTTAACTTTTACCCAGTATTTTTTTTATTTATTTTTCCATAAATCTTTAGCAAACTGTCGGAACTTTTACGTGTTTTTTTATGTTTGTCATTTAATAGACTTTTTTTAAGACTTGATGCTAATGTTATGTCTTTCTGACAAGTTTCCTTATGATTTTTTTTCTCATTTTGCAATATTTTATAATTAATACCTTTCTTCTTTGAGGGTTTTGCTCCTAAACTTATAGCAAGTGCAACTTCTGCTTCTTCTGCTTCTGCTCCTTTGAAACCAGACATGCCAAATTTCATAACCTCGTATCTGGCGCGTTTCATATCTAATTCTCGTTTCTTTGCATCATCATTTTTATTCCATTTGTTTTTTGTCACATTGAATCTAGAAGTTTGTGCATCACTATTTTCCTCACTTTTAACAATTTCTATCTTTTTTTTTGGTTTTTCATAATTTATTAATACAAATCTTTTTACACCATCCTTTTTTATTTTTGATACTCGTGTTGGAATAAAGTTTTCCATTATAAAATACTGAAAAGACATGTACATATATTAAATTTTGTATAATTTTAAAATAATATAAAAATTATTTAATTTATTTCACTTACCTATGTTTACTTCATTTATATTTATTTCACTATATCAGTTATGTATATATATATGTCATGTCACTATATATGCCTAGTTATTACTTACCAATATATGAAATTAAAATTCATTTAAACATATAAATTATCCTTTGCCTTCTAAAAATAATATATAATACTTTATTGTTTAATCGGTATCTCAGATATTATTTAACCTCTGTGTTGAAAGCAGTTGTTTAAAAAAGGCAAAATATCATAAAAAGAGTATTATAAACAATTAATTTAAAAAATTAAGCAACACAAATAAAAATTTAATTTAATTTTTATCAATATAATACTTTTAGATAGATAGTTTTAAGGATCCTCGATTTGGATAGTTTTAGGGATCTTCCGTTTGGATAATTTTAGGGATATATTAACGTCAAATTTCGCACTTTCAATTATAATTAAAAGCATTTATAAGGTTTATTATGTTTTTAGATAACGACATTTTTTTTATTAATATTTTATCCATTTAGGTATATTACTCCTTTCAATATATTAATTTTTAAATTTAAAATTAGATTAAAAATTTAATAAATTTTCTAAACGTTATTATTTTTTATGCTATATTATTTACTGTTACTTGTTACTTAATATATATTATTCATTGTTATTTAAACATATAATATACAATTAATTTATAATAGGCAAATAGTAATTCTTACAATAGTATATTCTATGCCATTGTATTTCATATATATGCAATTTCAAATGTATGTATATAACATATAAATATTTTATTTAGTATATAAATATTGTCTATAATGGAAGAATATCCACCTATTATTGTACGTTTGGCAATAAATAGAATCGATCTAAATTTAATAAAAAATGAAAATGTACAACCTCGAATTTATACTCCAGGAGAAGAAATTTCTAGTCAACCTGATTTTTTGAGGTAAATGCGTACATGTTTTATTTGTTTAAAGCGAAAAGAAAAAAAATTCATTTATTATATAATTTTATTAGAGGACATGGAACATACGTGGACGATGAAAACACATTACGTGCATCTGTAGCTGGTGTTTTAGAAAAAGTAAATAAACTTATATCAATCAGACCTTTAAAAGCACGTTATCAAGGTGAAATAGGAGATGTAATTGTTGGTCGCATAACTGAAGTACAGCAGAAACGATGGAAAGTTGACACAAATTCTAAACTTGATTCTGTATTACTTCTTTCTAGTGTTAATTTACCGGGTGGTGAATTGGTATGATACAAAATTGATTTTATATTGCTTAAAGTAAGTACATTTTAAAAATAATGATATTGTAATTTATAGAGAAGAAGATCAGCAGAAGATGAACAAACTATGAGACGGTATCTCCAGGAAGGAGATCTAATTTGTGCAGAAGTACAAAGTACTTTTGTAGATGGTTCACTTTCATTACACACTAGAGTCTTAAAGTATGGTAAATTGTCTCAGGGTATAATGTTAAAAGTATCACCAGCTCTTATAAAAAGAAAGAAAACCCATTTTCATAATTTGGAGTGTGGTGCAAGTTTAATATTAGGAAATAATGGTTATATATGGATTGGAGCTAATAAACAAGATAGTGATAGATCAGAAGGTGGTTTTACCCAAGATTTATCAAGAATTCCTCAAGTAAATCGCGAAGTTTGTGCACGATTACGTAATTGTATTTTAATCTTAGCACAATGTAATATCCAACTTACAGATACATCTGTTACATATGCTTATGAAGAATCTATGAAATATAAAATAAATGAACTTCTAGAACCAGAGATAATGATTGATGTATCATTGCTAACTCATCAAAGATTAATACAACAATAATATCTTATTTTGATCATTTTGATGTGTACAAATAAATAAATAAATGGAAAAAATTTTATACTTATTTTTATTCTAAATTATTTTTTTATTTAAAACAGCAATAAATTTTGAAATTAAATTTTATTTATTTCATTTTTTATTATTTTATTAAGTAAAATTATGAATTGGTAAGTGACATTTAATGCTAAAAAATGCTGCATTATTAGTATAGCATATAAAAAATACAAATATAGAAACAAAGCACTGCAATAATGTAAATTGAAATATGTCTGCAACAATATATTGTAACAGTTTTATAAATTACTGTAGTCTTAAAGAGACCAAAAAATAATATATGTATATATAATGTGGTCGTATATTATTAATGTAGATATTGATTAAACAAATAACGTAGAAACAAGAAGTTTTATCAAAGAAACATGGATGCATGTTTTACTGCATTTGATAAAGATGGAGATGGATATTTGTCTATTATGGAATTTGAATTTATTTGTCGTGCATTATTTCGTAATGATCGTGGGAAAGTTTATAATGTTGATGAGAGTCAATTAAAGGAAATATATTCTATATTTGACTTGAATGGAGATGGAAAAATTGACAAAGAAGAATTTGAGGTATTTACTTACTTATAAATATGATATTGTCAAAATAATTATTAAATTATTTAAATTATAATATTTTAGATATGCTGGAATCGTTGGATTAAAATATGCACGCGTCCAAAGAGCGCGTTTTTAATTGTAGATGTACAGAACGATTTTATAACGGGCTCTTTAAATATTAAACAATGTGCTGCTCAGCATGATGGTTCAGAAGTAATTGAACCGATTAATCGTCTATTGGAAACTGTACAATTTGATGCAGTGTTTTATTCTCTTGATTGGCATCCTATGGATCATGTATCCTTTATTGATAACTTACACTTGAGGTAAATACATAATTGGTCTCGATTTTAATTCATTATATTCATATATTTAATTCATATATTTCGAATATTTTTTGATATTATCGACTCGGCAGTTTTGACGAAATAATGAAATAAATTATAAATTTTTCATTGAAGTGCAAGAAATGCAACCAATATAAAAATACTTTTTTATGCAAAATTCGATGTTTTATTCGAGTTTAGTAAGAAATATCAAGCATTCCACTTAAAAAATTGAAAGTGACTTTCATATATCGATAAAATAGCAAAGTAATGACGAAATAAATATTGTATATGGTTTTCAGACTTTATTTTTTTCTTCTTACTGTATTTTTTTTTCATATAGTAATTAATTTGTGCGTTATTTGAGGTCGTTATGTTATGAGATTCAGTTTGTATATAAAATATTAAAAGTAGAGTAGACTTATAATATTTAGTAGTGGAAATAAATTTCTGCCTCTGTTTTTCTAATCATGTTTATAAAAGTATGAAATTGTATAAAAATTTGTAATTTAATTATAAGAGTTCCTCATAGTGGAGTTAACGCAATGCAAAGAATTAATTAATTTGTAATATACTTAATTAATTAAATAACGTATTTTATAAATTGAATATTTTATTTTTTATAGAGAAGTTGACCCTAGTAGCGGAATCTCAAAAGAAGCAGCGCAAGTTTATGATACCATTACGTTTAGAGGTCCACCATTACTAAAACAACGTCTTTGGCCTCGTCATTGCATTCAAGATTCTTGGGGTGCTGAACTTCATAAAGATCTAAAAATTGTGGATAACGCAATTAAAATATACAAAGGAACTAATCCAGAAGTAGACTCATATTCCGTTTTTTGGGATAATAAAAAGATGATGGAAACAAGCCTATCTTCGCAATTACAAGAAAAAAGTGCAACAGATATATATATTTGCGGATTAGCTTATGATGTTTGTGTTGGGGCTACTGCAATAGATGCACTTACAAACGGTTATCGGACTATTTTAATTGATGATTGCAGCCGAGGAGTAGATCTTGTTGACATTGAAAAAACTAAAACTACTGTTATAGCTAATAATGGCGTAATTGTAAATTCAAGTCAAGTAAAAGCAATGGTTGAGGGGAAAGATCGTCGACCAGAACTTGGATATAAGTTAGCCATAGAAATTAAACGAAAATTAAATTTTATAGATGATGATAATCAATAATTTTGTTTCCTTCTAAATTGTCAATTAGTGTAAAAGCTTGTTAAACAGATATTAGATAGAAGCTTGTTAAATAGATCGATATTATAGTACAATATTTTGTATCAGATTTTGCTCCTTTAAGAATCATATTTGTGAGATATTCTAGAATAAATTATTTTCTGCATTAAGTATTGATGTCAATTTGTTTCTTCTTAAGCTAAGGGGGGTTTTTTTTTTTTTTTAATAGCATTAAAGAATTTGAAACGATTTTGTTGCGCAGTCACTGGTTTCAAAATTCTTGAAAATAGACCAAGATCTACTTGGAATTCAATAATTTAAGTAATTTATAATAAAGATAAATACACTTGATTGAAACTTTTGAAACTTTAATAATACAATTTAATAACTAACATTGAATTTACAACAAAAAATGTAATAAACAAGATGAATTACAATTAAAAACTAATTTTATTGCAAGATAACAAGAAGATACTTGAACTCCTTGAATGCAAAGATATTTCTGATTACAAATCTTTACAGATTTGTAAAACAAATTTGTTTATGACAAAATTAATTACTCATTAATTTCCAATAAAAAAAATTGATTAGAAATTAAGATAAATCTAATTGGTTGGAGTTTATTAGAAAGCAAATGTTAAGCATTTTGGCAACAATTTTCCTATGACAACCCAAATAAATAATTAAGTTAGCGAATGGTTATAGATAATTATCTATAATAATTTGGCAGATAAATTTATTATATTGAATAGACTACTTTGTTTATTACATTACATTGTTGTACAATTTATATTTCCCGCATTACGTTTTCGTATATTATTCCTAAAATTATCGCTACAAAAAGTCACTTGGTATTTCAAGCACGCAACATCTGTAACTGTGAGTTACATCTGGTGGCCTTTGTCCGAAATTTATACGAAATATAAGGTCATTGACTAATTAGAATAGATCAGATCCAATGACATTATTGATTAAATGTCTAATCTATTCTAATACTAACTAAAAATAGAATTATTGACTAAAAATAGAATAGACTGGACATTAAATGGAACTTTAATTAGAAAAAAAATTACTAATTTTGCACGCTTAAATAATGGCAAATTGAAGAATTACATCAAATAAAATCAAGTGACCCATAAAAAACATTGAATGTCCGATCTATCCCACTTAATCATGGTATGATACAAAAATGTATTGGGTACCGCGTCTTTCTTATACCTCATCTATGGTTATCTTGTGATTCGGGGGGTTGTGCATAGCAAGGTAATGAAAAAAAATGTCATCTCCCCTAAAAATCACGTTTCTATTTCCGAGGTTTTCACAGTGAAACCAGGAATGAATTTTTTGACAAAATGGCTAAACGGAACTAGATATTATCACATAATTGAGAAATATCTAACCACATTGGAAAAGAAGTCATTTCCAAGTTTCTATTCTCAGTGAAATAATTTTCGCCGGAAATGAATTTTTTTGATAGAACGGCTAAGCGGAAGTAGACATCGCTACGTATTTGAGAAAGTTGCGCTAAAAAAGTTATTTATTTTCCTCGGTAAAATAATTTTCACTAGAAATTTTTTTTAATGAATGGCTAAGCAAAAATAGATGTCGCCATATATTTAAGAAATGTAGCGACCGCTACCTCCGCGCAATTCGAAACAGCGCCACTTACATCCTTCCGTCGCAAAGTGAGTTTCCAATAAATCAAGCAGCGACATCTTTTTTGTAGAAGAAATAAAAAACGCGGGAAAAGAGTTTTCTCCCTCTTCGCAAGCCGAGGTTATAAAACTTGGTTGCGAAGAGGAAAAGGCTTTTTATTTCTTCTATTATTCCTACTACCATAACCACTCTTACGTTTGCTACTACGGGTAAGAGTTCTGTACAAAATTTGTAAGCGCATAATTGTGATACTAAACCAAAGACAAAAATATAAAATTGTAAAAAGAATTACATGTGTATTTACGTGAACCTACGGCAGAATCCTGTCTTACCTACTTAGATTCCTACAGAAATGTAGCAGCTAGCACATCTAGTCTTTCCTTAGTATTGCAATTCCAAAAGATACGAACATCGCCGCAAGTGGATGCCGCACCTACGGACCGAGCGCGATCTTCAGATTAAGCGTGCAGCGTACGGAGCACTTTTAAGATGCGACCGTCTCCATACCCAACCTTTTTAATAAAACAAACGTCTAGGAATCACCACCATCAGTCCCACTGTTGAGTCTGGCGGCTACTCGGAGACGAAACATACTCCGTCTTCTATATTATTTATAACCCTACCTCGACCATTTACATTCTACATCTTTTTTAAAAACATCCAAATACCAACAAAAAGTTACAAATATCTAACAACAGAAGATACATTTAATTACGGATTTAGAAGTGTTTGAAGATCTGATGTGAAACATGTTTTATCATGTAAGTTTATTAACATAAATTTAATTAAGTTAATAAAATAAATATAGTGATAAACATTGGTAAATATTGAACAATATATTTGCGTTACCTGCCAAGCTAATTGTGTCATTTTCATGCTATGTGTACTAAAAACGGTATATGCTATAAAGTTTAAGAAATCTACAAAATTTACCTATTTTTTTCTGTTTATGTACTAGAAATTTATTTGTTGGTATTTGTAAATATTAAAAAAATAATTTACACGATATAAAACAAAAAGATAAATTTATTTGATACTGAATAAATAGAAGAATAATGAAAATGTAAAATAGTAAAACAATATCCATACAAAAATGTGTATATGAGAAAATAATATAATATTTATTTTTAATGTTTTTTATTTATAATTGTATGTAACAATTATTTTGTTGTAGCAAGAGAGATATAAACATGGTTTATTAAGATAATATCGCAAAATGTTATCCTTTCTGTAATGTCCTGTGCAATCTTATTATTAAAATTTTGTATATTTTCTTCACGTTTTATATTTTCTTTTATAGCGAAACAAAAGAACTTATAAGAAAAAAAGACTGATAACAAAAGACGTGTTGTTGTTAACGCGATATCATGCCGTGTATTCTGTAAATTCTTAAAAAGTATTCCAAGTATCATTATAGAGTATATAAAAATATCAACAATTGTTGTTTATCTTTTTTAATAAGAAAAATATCATTTGTCGTAAAAATAAGTTTCATGTACTGATGAATGTATCTGCTACATGTAGCAGGAAAAGGAACTTAAGTAAAGTAAACGTGTTAAGGCACGTGAAATATTATGCACATAATTTATTCTAATTGTTACAGATTTCATTGGAACATGAAATTTTATTACATCCTAGATACTTTGGACCTCAATTATTAGATACTGTGAAACAAAAACTGTATACTGAAGTAGAAGGCACTTGTACAGGAAAGTGAGTTTATAATTAAGATAATATATTTATTTTGAATAAATATAATAAATCTTTATATTTCAGATATGGCTTCGTAGTTGCTGTAACAACAATAGATAATATTGGTGCAGGGATCATACAGCCAGGACAAGGTTTTGTTGTATATCCAGTTAAATATAAGGCTATTGTATTTAGACCATTTAAAGGAGAGGTATTAGATGCTATAGTAACACAAGTTAATAAGGTAAATATTAAATATAGTTTTGAATTTATATGACAGTATAATTTAAAAGATTACATATTATTTCTCTCCTTTTTAGGTTGGAATGTTTGCCGAAATAGGACCACTTTCATGTTTTATATCACATCATGTAAGATTATTTTTATATATTGTACATTATAATTCTAAAATTATGCTTTGTAATTTATTATATGATTTCTTACAGTCAATCCCAGCAGATATGCAGTTTTGTCCAAACATAAATCCTCCATGTTACAAGTCTAAAGAAGAGGTAGGTTTTTAAAAGACATATTAAAAAGCTTACAAATTATACTTATAAATTGCAGGATGTAATTATTCAACCAGATGATGAAATAAGATTGAAAATTGTTGGTACAAGAGTTGATGCAACAGGAATTGTTAGTATTTATAATATATAATTTTATTTTTGTGTTGTGCATTATTACATTAATATTATGTTTTTTAGTTTGCTATTGGAACATTGATGGATGATTATCTAGGTAAATATTTATTTTATCAATCTACTACAATATTATTCTTATATAAGAATTAATATGTATTTTTTTTTTATAGGACTTGTATGTAATTGAATACAATCATTGGTTCTGTAATACAAGTTTTACATGTTAAAGCAATATTTTTTTATGAAATAATAAATTCTATGTATATAAAAAACATTAAGTAAATAATGTATATTCTGTATTATCTAAATATGACTATTCGACCATAAATATTTTATTTATTATAAATTTGAAATTGCAAATTGCGGTATATTAATATTTAATATATATTTATTATATATTTAAAATAAAATACATTTTTGTGTTTCTTAATAACAACGAAGTACTAATGTATAGTGTTTAAATAAAATTGTATTATTAAATTCTGTCACTTTTATGTACAGGGTGCTTCGAACTTTAGTATTCAATGTCAATGTATTTTGCAGATAAAAATAAGGTTAAAATATCATATACCAAAAAGTCCATAAATGCTTCGTTGAAAAGTTTTAAAAATACGAAGTACTTTTAAGACAAACACCATCAATATGAATAATTTCAAGGATGGAATTAGATGAGAAGAACCAATTTTCTGGTTTCCTAGATTGCTAGAGCTTACATTTTCAGATTTGGGAAAAAATATTAATTATCCTTAAAAGCAAAAATTTGCAATATAAAAATATTTATTTAAATGAGTTGAATCAAAACTGTGAAGAAATTTGAGAAAATTGATATGAAATTTTGTTTATGATAAATTCTTCAATTAATTTTGCATTGATAAAGTAATACACATAAGTATTTATAGCTGTATGTTTCATATTATAATTTTTTAATGGAGCATTTATAAGTTTTATTACATGATATTTAGTCTTATTTGTAGAACACAATAGCAAACTTTAAAAACTAAATTTCAGAATATCTTGTATATAATAACAGTAATAATTAATGTAATTTAATCTATTTATATATTTTTTTTAAATCTATTACATTTATTAAGAAGTATTAAAAAGGAACATGGTTTTTAGTGTGAATAAAAATTAATTATAAATATAATAATAGATTTAAACAATGTATTAATTATAGTTTCAATATTTATTATTTTTTTTTACATACTTAAAATTATTTAATAAATTTTTTATCTTATTCGAAGAAATTCAATATATCTTTTTAAACAAAATTGAATAAGATGTGGATTTAAACCTAATAAAGCAACAAATAATGCAAGTTTCGTTTCAATAGGTGTCTTAATTTTTTCTGCTATATCTTGATCAGGCATTGTTTTATCCACAATATGTTTAAATATTTTGCCATCATTATTAACATAAAATGTTGAAAAGCCATCGTACCACCTATTAATACAAGATATAAATATAAATGAATAGATAAATATAGATATAAATAAAATTACTTACGCTGCTGCATTGTCTGTTTTTTCTTTTGTATTCCAGACTTTAATTTTCCAAAATGTAAGAAATACGCGTGTGCCAGAAATACCTACTATACGCCAACGAACTTTAATACTGTTATCTTCAGGATGCATAGTCATTTTTAAAACCTCTAACTTAACAAACGCATATTTTAAATGACCAATGATTTTTAATAACGTTATTTGCTTAAAATATTGCGCAATACCACTGTAAAATTACAGTAATGTTTATTATATATGCTATATATATATATATATATATATATATATATATACTCTTTTTCTTTTTTTAATGACATTAGAAATAGAAATATTTTACTTTATACACTTACACACTTGTTGTGCCTCTAATATTATTGATAAATACTACATCTTGTGTATAAATTTCATAATTCATTTGTTTAATAAATAGAAGTGGTAACTAAAAAAAATAAATTTTGTTATTTTAGAATAAATTTTGTTTCTAAGTAATTTTTTTGTAATAATTTTTTTAATAATAACAATTTACAAAAAAGACATACATCCTTACGAAGAATGTCAAATACATTTTGTAAATGTGAGTCAACTGGTTTACGATTTTCAGAAGCTTGTATTTCATTTATACTTTGCACATTAGGAGAAATTTCTGTATGGAATATTCCATCCTTTTGAGAACTGAGTAAAATATTATCGGATGTGCTTTTGGTTAATATCATTTTTGTACATGGCAAACTAGATTTTTTACTTCTTAAAGTTACGAGTGGTTTTCCACCTTCTACATTAATTTTTAATAATGTCATATTTAAATCTGGATTGAGAATATTTTGCATCTGAGCATTTATTTGTTTTTGCTGATGTAATTTGATTATTTGTTGTTTAGTCCAATTATGTTTTTTATTTTCTATCTTAGGACTCTCAATATTAGCATTGAATAAGATAACATTGTGATTTAATAAATGAGTTATTGAATTCGAAGGTATTATTTTGACATTTATTATTGAACTTGTTTGTGCACCTAAAAACTATAATTAAAAATTATTTTTTGAATTTTGTACCTTTTATAAAAATTTTATTTAAAAAATATAAAAATACTTAAAAAAAATATAAAAAAAGTTATATTGAAATTGTAATTAAGTAACACATAAAAGATGTATAGTATGTTCAATTTATTCATATACATATTATTATTTTCTTAATTGTTGAAAATAAGAAAGAATGTTTCAAGTAAAAGTTTCCAGGCAGATATATATTAAATTAAAGTTAAATTATCTTCTGAATTAATAACTTTTTGCAGTACATAGGTTGATACTTTTTTGTAAAGAATATCGAGCTTGATTAAAATATATCATTTTATTTAAAAATCTAATAAAAAAGCAAAATAACAACGAAACAATTATTGGTATTATTTGTCCCCCTAGAAACCATGCAACGTTTGTTCAAAACGTCTTTTTGTATTTTCAACAATTAAGGAAATAATAGCATATGTATGGACATACTATATATTAGTTACTTACAAAATTAGGTGTACATCTATGTTGGTAACAAAAATTGATAGAATAACATAAGTAATAAAAATGAACAAAATAAAAACAAACAGAGATAAAAACATATATTTTAGTTGTATGTTTTAATAGATAATACATGAAAGAATTTTTTAATAAAATGAACTATCATCACTACGCTACTACATTTTATTATTATTGTCAAGATTAAGGATATAGAAAATAGAATTATGTAAAAATAATTAATAAATTTAATTTTTAATATTTTGTTGCATTTCTATTTGCATTTATTGTTTCTAAGCATCTAAACATATATTCTATTAATTTTTGTATTATTGAACACAGAGTTGTTATATTTTGGTGATTTTGAGTTTTACATTTGTTTTATTCATACACAGTAATTATTTATAAATAAATATTGTAATTATTTAATGTAAGCGTTATTTCTATCACAAATATTCAATTAATATTTGAAGATTGCGGTATTTAATAATTTTGGAATATTATCCTTTTGTGTAGATTATATGTAATTTTGTAAATGAAAATTTTATTAAATATGCTTATATTTAATATTTTAAAATATTTCATTTTGTCTATTATAATTTCAAGAAATTTTATATTATTAATTCTACTGCTGTATATTCCATTATTGAACTTTCATGTTTATTACAGTATTGTATTATTTTTGTTAAATTCTGCATTTAGTTCACTATAATAATTTTAATCAAAAAATTCTAAACATTATTTTAAAACTTTTGGTCCCAATTTATATATTTTTTGACTTAATTCTATTCATTTTAGAAGTGTACGACTTTTCTTTGCTATTCCACTGTAATAGTTTTTATTGTGTAATTTTTCATAGATATTTTTTTTTTAATTCTTTATTAATTGTGATATATTAGTTTTCTAATTAATTTTAGTTTATCTAAATATATACTACTCATTATCTTTAGTTAAAATCACATTTCAATCCATATTTTATGTTTATTTATTATATTTGTAATAATTTTCTATATAATAGAGTGACTTCTGTTTATTATTTCTTAAATTTATTTAAGGAATCTATTTTGATAATAATTTCACCACTGATTTTTATATAGAAATGTCTTTGAAGTCATGATGTTAACTTTTATTAATAAATAATGAGAAATGTAAATTAATTATAACACAGCAATGAAAAAATGTAAGCTATAAACAGCTGAAGGAATTTCAAACCATGATATGATATCATCACAGAATAAGTTTTTAAGTAATTAATTAAATTATAGTAAGAATCAGATTTTAAGTAATTAATTAAATTATATGTTTCATTTACAATCAAATAAAGGTATTTTTATGTTGTTTGTTAAATGCAGATAAATAGTTCATTTCATTCAAAAATTTTTTTGTAAATTATTTGTTAAATTATATAATAAAATATATATTGTGTTTCTACTTTCAAATATATCTATTTTTGTGTATTTATCTGACAATTAATTCATTATCAACATGGATATACATTCAATTTTATAAATAACTATATATGGATAAACAAATGATCAAAAACTCGATAACTTCTGTCATCTATAATTTATTGCAGTTTTTAATAACAATAAAGATACGTTTTCATACTTTGTTAACATAATATATAAAAAATTCTGCACAGTAATCTATCAATCAGTTATTTATCATTTCTATGAAGCAAGATTTTAAAATAGAAAAAAAATGAAAAGTGTTAACTTAACTGTTAATAAACTTTTTATGAGAATTATAAAAATATCAATAAATTATTCTAACAAAATGATTATTACATAAGTATATAAAGGTTAGCTTGTTTTATAGAATAAGAATTCTTGAAACCGACACTTTAAGACAGAATTAAAAATATCACATACAAATAATTAATAATTATTGAAAAACAATTAGTACTTACTTCATCCAGAAATAAAGAAGATTTAACATTTTTTGATAATTGATAGTTGATGTCAGTTACTTGTTTTCGTAGATTAACAAGAGATGTAAATTTATTTGAAATGGGACGTAAATAAAATGACATTTTTCTGAATTTTTTATTTGAATGATTTGTACTCAATTATTTAATTATGTGTATAATGTAATATGAAATAGAGCTGACAGCATGACCTCAGTATCATATTATAGAGTCTCCGGCAATTCACACATGTTCGATTATAAATTGCACGAGTTTTAACATATGTTTGAAGTTTCAAAGATGGCGCTTGTGTTTAGTGGCAAATTTGAAATTGTAGTTTTATATGACAATTTCTTGTTTATTTATGTACATTTATTAACATGTATTGATAACACATTGCACTATTAATACATTAAAATTACAATTTCTTGTTTATTTATGTACATTTATTAACATGTATTGATAACACATTGCAGTTAATACATTAAAAAATTACAATATTAACTTTTTTATTTTAAAGAAGAGTTAATATTTAAATGATTTTCCAATATAATTTTAGAGAGAAATATATCGTTGATAAATATTTAATATGTCAAAATAAATAATTTCAATACGTTGCATTTACAAAAATACATTTGTGATTATATTACACATTCACAGAATATTAATCTATGAAATTAAAATTATAAAAGATACATTTGCAAATATTAATATAAAATTGATAACTCAATGTTATAACATGTTTTTTATGCGTTACCAGAAGACAGTATTACTGAAAAATAAAATTAAATGTTACATGAAAAAAATACTATATTGCTTCATAGGCAACATCAACATCAATTCTAGTTACAGAACCATTGAGAAATTCTTCAAGTTCATCGCGTTCTCTGGTTTCATCTCTTGGACGATGTAACGATCGTTTTTTCTTTTTTTCTGTTTTATCTATTTTCTCTTTATCTTTTTCTTTATCTTTCGATTTTTTCTTTTTCTTCTTTTCTTTATCTTCCGTCTAGAAGTATTTTAATTTAAAATTAATATTAATAGAAAGAAAGTGAAATATTATTAATAATATTTTACACTTGATACGTACCTTTTCTTTATGTCTTTTTTTTTCTTTTAACACAGGGCTTCCACCATCAGAACTCATATGACGTACGCTAGTATTGTCAAGTAATTCTAAATGCACATTAGAACTTGTTACACTAACGTCTACGCTTTTATCACTTAATTCCAATCTATCTTTTCTGGTGCTATTACTGCTTACATCTTCACCACCTTCAGGACTTTGTCTCCATTTAGAATCACGTCGAAGCCAACTATCAAATGCGTCCGAGTTAATCTCTTGTTGTTCATTCATGTCATAGTTGTTTGATATTTGTAATTCTTGGTCGATAGATGAAATAGAATCGCATTTCGTAATTTGCCGCAATTTTCCCACATTTATTTCTGTATGTGATAAAGTTTCACGTTTGTGTTTTTGTTTGCTTAGTGGATTTTCTGCTAATTTAGGTTGAATAGGAGGTGTTGCTTCATCAGTTGATGATAAATCATCTTCATATTCAGCAACTAAGGGATTTGCAGTTTCAGTATCACTGTCAAAAATTGAATAAGTATTTAATACAAAACATACGAATTAAAAACAGTTTTAAAAAGTTATGAATACGTTTTTATTTATATAATTTTGATATACCTTTCGGAATCTAACTCTTCATGTTGTACTTTCTGTGGTGAAACTTGACTATCTTCTAAAAATGACCGATCTAACAATCCATCATCTGGTACAAAATCTTCAACACTAGTTAACGGTACATTTGTATTTGGGTTATTAATATGTGTTACTTTGTCTACTTCGTCTTCCTTTTTGTTACCAAATATCTTTGACATAAGTGACTGTGGTTTGCTAGTTGACTCTCGTTTGTCAGAATTTTCATTTAAAAATTCAGTTATCTTAGAATCTATTTTTGAAATATTTTGTGTACTAGACAATGTTGATGTAATTTGTGAATTTTTAACAGAAATTGCTTGATTTTCGGAAGTATTAATAAAATTTTCTTTCTTTGATACTATTAAATCCATATTTTTTACTGGAATAGGAGTTCCACCTCCTATAGGACCAGGCATGGAAAATGATCTTTTAACTTCAGCATTTACATTCATATTGCCATAGGAAGATAGTATATTATGATTGCTTAAAGAAGATGTAATATTAGGGACTAGAATACTAGCAGAAACAGAATCAGCTAGTGCTCTTCTTTTGTTAACAAGATTGTCTAAGAATTTGTTATAATTGGCATCATCACTATCTTGAAAGAGATTAAGTTCTTGTATTGTCAAACGTGTCTCCTCCTCATTAGTTTCAAGCTGTTTTAATAGTGTTTCTTTCTGTAGCTGAAGAAAAGGAAGATTAAAGAATTTGTGCAAAAGTTTTAATCCAAAGCCATTTCTCATGGAGGATTCTGCATATCTTACCTACAAAAATAAAATAAAATAGAATGTAATGAACATGCTTTTCCAATTATTTATAAGTAATAAGATCAATAAATTTACTTGCGCTGTTCTTTCATGAAATAAATCAATAAAGTATGTTACATGATCTGATGTAACAGTTCTGTGATGTGACATATCACAATGATTTCCTAAAACAATTACTGGAATATGGCTAGGAATTTTTGGAAGTTCTCGTTGTACATAATCAAATGTCCAAGATTTTGTAATATCCATTATAATAATAACACCATTGGTCCCTTTATATACATCAAGAAACTCTGCATCTAAAGCAGGTTCCTCGATTATATTTTCGGGTTGTGAGTTATCCATTTTTAAACCTTCTAATTTTTTTCTACGTCGACCTTTATCTACAACATCCCAAACTTCAACTTTAACGATATCATCAGTAGCTTTATAATTCCATTGAATACTTGTTACTTGTATTTCTTCTGTTGGTATATATTCTTCTATAAATTTTTGGCCTTGAAGTCTATGAAATAGACAAGTTTTTCCCACATTTCTGTCACCCTTTATAATAATTTTCACTAAAAAGAAAGTTCTTTTCATTTAAAGAATTTTATTTTTCTTTAGAAATTGACTTGTTGTACTTACTATTATATTGTACACCTTTAGCAAATTTTCTCTGTAAAGTTGTTGGCATAGATTGATGAGCTGGTCTAGGTGATACATTGTTAACTCCATCTGACTTTCCAGCTAATCTTTTAAATGCAGAGAACATTGTATATTTCTTCTTAACTAGATTAATAATAATTTAGGTAAGGACTTTTCCTTATTTCTATAATAGATATCTAAACAAAATGGATAAAAGGAAATTATAAATTTTTATACTAATTTAATAAAAAATATATTTTAAACACAAACAAACTTGAATTATCTATATATTATTAAAATAATTAAATTTTTATTTTAACTTAGAAAAATTATTCGTGGAAATAATATTTTGATTATAAAATATATAGAAATGTTCTTCAATTAAATATTTAAAACTCACGAATTCAAAAATATTATAAAAATAGTGAATTTACATGATTAATAATTAATTAATGTTTACTACATGAAATATTGCATTATAGTTATTATAGAGGAATAAGTATGTTACTCTAAATGTTTTTATAACAAAATTATGAAGTAAAAATAATTGCTTACTACATGTTATATCAAATTTTCCATGTGTCGTGGTAGAAAATAAAAATTTATTCGTAATACTTAACACATCTAATAAAACTTAGGCAGCTGTCACTTACCAGCTGTACTTATTTTTTTGTTGTGATGTTGGCAACCATTTTATTATATTTGTAGCATTTTTAATATTATAGGTTTAAAGTGATATAAAAATAAATATTTAAAAATTATTAGCATATTTTGCGCATTTTGCTATATTATATAAATATTTATAATAATATGGTAAGGTTGGTATTAATGAAAGCGGTACTTTTTAAAACTTTATCATAATATATGAGTATGATTTATTTTATCAGGATTAAATATTAATTAATCTTTTTAAATATTAAAATCATTTATTATAAATAATATGTACACTATTAGTATATCATATACAATTATATAAGTATTACATATAAGTATTACAGTATATTATATACAATAAATGATCAATCTAAGAAATATTATGATTCATTGAAGTCTACTACAGTAGCTTGATAAAGAAGTGGTTTCAAATCTTCTATTATTACACTATGTTGTTCTCCATGTGTTATTGTTAATATTGAACTAGCTTTTTTTAATGCTTCAATAGCTTGTTTTAGTTTTTTTCCTGAATATACCTGAATTTTTCCTATTGCTAGGTAAAGTAATCCAGTTGTTGGATGAATTTCTCCATAATACGTTCTGAAATACAAAAGCAACTTATTGTGTTTTACTTGTTATTGTAACATTTAAAGAATATTCATCTTACAAGTAGCCATTAATAAGTTTTTTAGCATAAGATTCAGCTTCCTCCCAATGTTGTAAGTTTATAGAAGAGTCAAAAGCAGTCTGTAAAGTTTGTACATGCTGTACATTGAGAGGATGTAAAATGCCTTCCTGTTTTGAGAGACACATTTTGCTTACATCCAGATCTATTTCTTCTTATAAGGAAATTATATACTCTCTATCAAATGAGCCAACTGTTATTATTCATAAAAAGGATACAGGCAATATTCTTCATGTTTTCTAAGTGATATGCAGTAAATTCAGATATTTCATCAAAAATCTTTTTAAAATTTTTTGAAAATTTTGTATTACAATTTTCACACATATCAGCATCAGAAGGACAAGGATATGTACAAAATTTATTTGGACATGCTGCTGCTTCTGCCATTGGTTCTGGACCTTCACATTTTTCACAGTTACACCAAAAATAATATGAACTTTGCAGTTCTGTACGTCTATCTTTTGTTGTCTTAATTACGTCAATGTATGTTATTTTTATCTGTATGTGTTTAAACATAAATATTTATATTTGTGTTATATTTACAGATATTTATATTTACATTATATTTATAGATATTTATATTTACATTATATTGTTAAGAAAGATATGATTAAAATGTGAACAAATAAAGTTATAAGTTAAAATGTGATAAAAACAAATAAAGTTATAAAACTTGCCTGAGATAAATCTAAAGAAGGCAGATCTTCTATTGTTTTAACTATTATGGTAATTCCCTCAAAGATTGCTACAGCATTAGGTTTGCAACTATGATCCAAAATAGAAGGTGCCAAATAAATACCAACACCAATATTTGTATCTAAATTAGATATATTAAAAGAGTTAATACAAATTCTGCCATAAATACCCATTAATTCTGTGGTATTTGGTACAGGCATATCTCCAAGGAATTCATATAAAATACCACATAAGCATATAAAATGTTCCATTTTTTTCTTATCTCTTTTTATCTCAGAACAATCTAACAAGACAATATTTTAAATACATTTAAATTGAATAGAAGTAAATAATAATTTGTTCTTTGTATATAATATAAAAGCTTACGAGACATTAAGTCCTTAAATTTTCTATAATTTGTTTCATTATAATATCCTATCTCTTCATCTCCACCTTGATTTAGTTTTATAATTATACGTGCCATAAGTCTTGCAACATTTGGTACCACTCTTGGTGAACATTTCTTTAAACTTGCACATTCTTTGCTATGTATGGGCCAAGATAATCGTTGACAAGATCGATTACAATAATAAACATACTGACAGACAGAACATTTAAATAGATTCCCACTGTAACATTGTAAATAAAAACAGACTATTAATTCATATTAGAAATAAAATTTATTATATAAATTAAATAGTTTTCTAGAAATATTAAAAATTGTACCTTTTAAAACAATAATCACATCGTTGATTTCTATATTTTGAATAGAGTGTATAAGCAAATGGTTTGGCGGTTAAAATAGTGGTACCTTTCTTTATAAAATTTTCACTTTTGTTCATTTTCAAAAAAAATTTTTTTCATTAAGACTGTTTAATTTAAAGTTAAATATAATCATAGATGAAATACAGGTTAGATCTATCATATTATAGAACCAGATCTCTCGTCTGTTATAGAATTTCAAATTCCATGATCTGAAATAGTGATCGTACAAGAAATAAAATTTTATTTCTCCGATTTAAGGTTAATGTACATAAATATAGAATTGCCTATGTCAAACTTGTCTCTTCCGTGTGCTACAAGAATTTGTCTTTCGATAAACCGTTTCCTCCTCTTCTTTTTTTCCCCGAGGAACTACACAAGCCCCATTCTCATTTAATCGAGTCTGCCACCACGTGTAAATTAGCTATTATATACATATATAATCTGTGAAATCAGACATGAAATATGACTGGAGACGGAATGAGAATTTTGGGAGGAGTTTATAAATATTTATAAATTGCATGAGTGTTCGTGGAATAATATAACAGAAAGATCAGATGATCGATTTGATATTATAAGAAAAAAATTTGATTTGAGATGTTTAAACGGACATTAATTAATTATTGCAGAGAAATTAATTATGAATACAGTTCATTATGGAATACTTAGAAAATTAAATGAAAATTTAATAGTAGTATTAAACAATAATCATCAAAATATTTCTGCACATTATATCTCATATAATGCACAGCCTCAATATAATTTAATTATTTAATCCAGTAAATCGATGCATGCATCGTCATATATTCCAACGTCTGTGCGGGTCTTGTTTTTAGCAACAGGAAAGAATTATGAAGATTTAAAATTTCATCTCAATTATTGAGCAAAATGATTCCTGAAGTGTGTATTACTATTTAAGAATTAAAGATTTTTATTCAAGATTTTTATAAAGATTATTATTTAAGAATAAGAATTAAAAGAAGAATATTTAAAAGCAAAATTAAATTTTTATTTTAAATATTTTCATACAGACAAAACATTATATAACATTGCAAACATACAAAAATACACACATTAAATATATTAACAGACAATGAAAAAAATTATATGAATGTCTTTATTTGAGATTAATGAATATTGCAATACTGGATTAAATAATTAAATTATATTGAGGCGGTGCATTATATGAGATGTAATGTGCAGAAATATTTTGATGACTATTTTAATACTTAAATTTTCATTTAATTTTCAAAATATTCCATAATAAACCGTATTCAAAATTAATTTCTCTGCAATAATTAATTAATGTCCGTTTAAACATCTCAAATCAAATTTTTTTCCTATAATATCAAATCGATCATCTGATCTTTCTGTTATATTATTCCACGAACACTCGTGCAATTTATAAATATTTATAAACTCCTCCCAAAATTTTCATTCTGTCTAAATTGTATGTTTGCTTTGATTGAGTCTCGGAATTTCACTCGGCTCACCAACTGAACCGAGATTTTAATTTTTACATCGTTAACGCGTGGTGTTCTGGATGCGTTTAATGACTCATACACTTTTAGGCTTGTATCTCGTTTTATTAAATTCGGATACAATGTCGGACTCTTTCTTGAACCGAACTCTTGAACTCGACTCTAGAAAACTTGGACTCAAGCTAAGAACTAAGCAACTAAGAACTATTTCTTTTTTTCGCGGCTTTTATGAAGTCTCGGTTCTTCTCCTAGATATTCCCAATTGGCTAAGTCATTTTTAAATCTTGTTAGCCAATTAGGTTGTCCCAAAATTGCGCTGCCTATTCCTCGCGGTTGTAACACACTCTCAAAAGCGCCGATGTAATTTTGTTGGAGACGACTCCTTAAATGTTGGTGGCAGTCTCGGATCAACCGCGGATGTCCAATGTAGTCTCGCTTACGAGTTCCAATACAAATTATTGTAGTGTCAGTGTTAGTGGAAACAAACGCTAATTTCGTACCTCAACACAAAAGAATACCGGAATGAATATATCGACTAACCAACACCAACCTGCGGGAACCTCTGAGTACAGGAGTTCCCAATTTTCCAACCAAACGGAAACAAACAACTCCACCAAATCATACTCCCACGCAGCACAATTCGATGATGCACCACCTACAAAAGATCAAGCTATCATCATTCACGCAATAGACGACACAAGCCTCCAAGACTATGCTCTTGCAATAGGGAAACTAATCGGACCAAATCAATAAGGTACATCTCCAAAATTTCAAACAATCGAATTTGCGCATATGTCGACAAAAAAGAAACTGTGCTACACCTAAGAAATCTGCATAAAACAATAACGGTCAACAACATGCTAAACCTAAGACCAATGTTAACTCCGGCCCAAAGAGTAATTCTATCAAACGTCGCCCCGGTCATACCCAACTCAGAATTTGAAAAAATTTTCAAAAGAAACAACGTCAAGCTATGCTCCAGAATAACAACCCTGAAAGCAGGAATGACCGACCCGGAATACCCCCATATCCACAGCTTCAGAAGACAGGCATACATTGACCCCGACGACATTGGAAAAATCCCATCCACCTTCCTAATAACTTTTGAAGATACATCTTACCGTATTTTCGCCTCCATCGACAACCTTCTCTGCTTCTGATGTAAACAGAAGGTCACTTAGCGAAAGATTGCCCGGAAACCCAAAATTCAAACATAATGATACGACAATTCCAAATACAAATACAACGATTCCCACACCAACTCAATCCTCCAAACTGCCGGCAAAGAAGATTTCCACCACTATCTAGACAAACATTGACAATCCTAATCAAATGAACAAATTACCTTCAGAGCAATCACCTTTGTGATGAGGCCCTTATCATTTCCATTTCCGGTTGGCGACAGGATAACAATGGGTGGCCATCTAAGAATACGACCGATATCGATCGTAATAAGGCCCGGTCAGCAATCAGATAACAATAAATGGAATGCGACCATTGTACCCCCCACATCGATACCAAACACTGTATAAATACCCGTCATTCTTGAATAAAC